TGGCGGTGTTTGTGTTTTGCTGTGGATAGGAACAGGTAAGTACCTCAAGCACAGTGTTGAAAGTCAGGTCCTGGCTGGTGGTTTGGGGGGGTTGGAAAGTGGATATTTTCCTGAATTCTGGGTCACAGTGTCACTGTGTGCTTACTACACAGCCTGGTCTTTTTGAGAGTGACCTGGACATCTCTTTACCCTCGCCCATACTTACTGTAAAGGTATAGGCTGGCATTTGTGACTCCCAGCTTGTTGGCAGCCACACAGGTGTAGTTCCCGTAGTGTTCTTCAGTGACATTGGCCACCATCAGCAGAGACTGGCTCCCCGTGCTCTTTATCTCCAGACCGTTGGCACTGTTTATCCTGGAAAGATAGGAGAAGAGGTGTGCAGTGCAATGGTAGTTATGTCAGGGAGGAAATCACTGCCCAGCAGAAGGTAAATCAAAGTTGTTGAGACCAGCTGATGGGTAAGGATGGGGAGAGGCAGGAAGGAGAGGTGAGAAGAAGGGGGCCAAAGAAGGAAACTGTTGAAGGAAAGCAGAAGGATGGAATGAAAGGAAGAAAGTACAGTAGAGGGAAATGCCACTAGTAACCGGTGGAGAAGCAAGGTGGGGAGAAGGGCTGGGAGAAAGAGAGGAGCCCTTTACCCAGCACTAGCTGAAACTTGGAAATGAAGTAATCAGCTGTGGGCTGGCATGCACTTGGAGAAAAGGTTTTTAGTAGAAGACACTAATTAATGTGTTCGAATGAATGTGTATAGAAAAGCCAAGTCACCCCTGAGCCTGTGCACATGGGTCAGCTTGAAAACCAGGATAATAAAGACACCTTTTTAATGCAAGGTAAGTGCTCAAGTATTAAGGACAGATACTGTTTCTCATATTCTGCCCATATGCAAATCTAAGTTGCTCAGGTCACACGCCTGGCAGCATCTTTCATTTCAGCAGCACCTTCCCCTGGATGAAGACAGCTAGGGTAGTATTACCTACTTGGAGACTTAACACTGGCTATTTTTGCATTTTTATCATGAGCTATTTAACGCATGAACTTTGTCAGGAAGAAAGTACTTTTGATGTCTTACTTGTGTATCGGCCCATTACTGACTTAAAGGTAAGAGCTTCATCCTCAACATTTCCTTCAGTGTCCCTGGTTCAGAGGAGGACTGCCTCTTTCAGCCCTGGACACTTTGACTTTGACTAAGCCAATGGGACAAACATAACTTGTGCGGTTTGTGGAGAGTAATTTATTTGAAGAGAAGAGTCAGGAGGACAAGAAGTGATTCTCTAAGGATTCCTTATTGCATGGACCAAAAAGGAAGGAAAGGAAGACTACAGCTACTGGTCTTACCTGGTGTCGTCTCTGTACCACTCAAAATCAGGTGTGGGCACTGCTGACGCCTCGCACCGGAGTAAGGCTTGTCGTCCTGTGGCCGCTTCATTGCTCTTGGACTCTGTGATAGTGGGAGGGTCTGCATGAAAGAAACACTTGTTCATTTCACGCATTTGCAGGTGAAAGGAAACAGTGAAACTATTTCTGGGCTGGCTTCCTCATGTGAACTGTTTGGGCTGATAGAGGCCCACAGCTGCTGCTTTCTGTGGCTCATTCTGCCCTCTGCCTCTGGAGCATACCTGCTCGTTGAACTCTCCCTAATACAGTATGCTAGCACCACTCCTTACTCATGCTTCTCTACAGTGGCACTGAATAAGGCTCTGTGATAAATGCACAGGTATGAGTGGGCAGAGTTAAGGTTAACAATGGGCTTCTGTAATTTCTGAGTATTTACTTGTGCAGCCCTAGTTCATATGGATTCATCAGAGAGAGAAAGATGAGAGAAGGGCTTCATCAAGGGCAACAGCAAGACAGCAGAAATAAATAGAAGAAGCTAGGAATTAAACACTATTGTGCATAATATTTTTTGTACAACCTCTGTGTCTACTGTCAAAACTATAATAAGAAAGGAAAGAACCAAGGACACATGGCCAAAATGGAAGGGCTTTAGCAGGAGATGCAGGTGATTAGCAACTCTGAAAACCAGACAGCTTATTAATATGCCTACCTCAGGTATCTAGAACTACAAATTCTGCCCAAACCTTCCTGAACATTTTGCTTTGTCAGAAGTTCCAGTAGGTTTGTTTGTGATCGCTGTGCATGAAGCCTGTCCTCAGCACACCATGGTGCTCCCATCCCCCGGCTAATTTGAAGCCTGAGAGTTGCAGTACAAGCAAACAAAACTTGGAATAGATATCGGTGTGCTCTGCTGGAGCTGGGTCTCAATGCTGGCTCAGTGCCACAGGTACGGCAGCCTCTGGTACCGTCACTCTCAGCCCCACGTTCAAAACGTTACACGACAAGCTTTACAAGTTAAAAGGCGGAATTATTTCCACCTGGCTGCTGACAGAGATCAGAGAGTAAGTGTCTTATCTATCATCCCTAGTACCTGAATATCCTGAGATTCTGGGGATGCAACTAAGATGGCTACTTTGCTGAGACTCCAGTCAGCACAAAAGCACACTCTGCGTGTACAGAGTATAGCTCCTTCTCCTGTATCTGACTTGGTGTTGAAAGGCCAAAAAAAAAAAAGAATCAAAATGTATTGTGTCAGTCAAAGAAAAAAATAATTTAGTCTGGAAGATATATGGAAGGGAAGTTTGCTGTGATCACATTAACCATCTCAATGTGATCCCTTTCCTGACCTTAATCGGGATTTTATGCAGGACTTTAGGGATATTGCAGTGCGCCCTCGAACATCATAAATATTAATAAGTGTACATAAATAGGATCCTACATTCAAAGGCTGTGGGTTCACGTAAATATTTTAATTTAGGAAGAAGGAGGGGTAATAAAAGGATAGTGAAGGTGATGTTTTTAAGCATCCGTTGATTTTTTCGTTCGAGTACCTTTCTTCTTGCCGTCAGCAGCGAGACAACCTTTTTCCACGTCAGTGAATCCAGCACATGAGATAAGTCATGGAAAGAACAAGTACCTTTTTGTGGGCCTAGAAGATGATAGCACTAGGCTAGCGCCCTGAGCATTCGCTCCTCTGGTTCCCACCGGCGAGCTGAACCTTTCACTCTTAGCAGTCCCGTAGTAGCCACAGATTCAGGCTTTCTAAAGAAAACCGCCCCAGGTGGATGGACAGGCCAAACCTCAGCAGCTACCTTTCTTGTTAAGGCAATACCGTCCCTGATGACACTGACTGCTCAGCAAACAGCAGTCTCCTCGCTGCAGCACTCCTTTGCAAGAAGTGGTAAGGCACAGGTGGGGGGCCCTGCACAAATTAATTATATTATATTCAAAAGGCAGCTACTCTGTGTTTAGCTGCATGCTGTGGGAGAAGCCAGGAATAGGTTCTCTTTAGGGTTCTGCCCTTAAGTCTTCCCTGGGCCTCAGTTTCCCTATCTGTAATGTGAAACAGCCATTACTCACAAAGCCTGAAGATGGTGGTGTAGACCAAAGGAAAAAGGTGATGCTTTCTCCTGCAGTCGGACTGACAAGCTGCATGCTCCACAGTGTCAGTGGAAGGCAAGAGATGGCCAGGAAGCTGTGGAGGTTGTGCAGGTCCCATTTTTCAAGCCTACTGTAATTCTCACAATTTCAACTCCTTGTGGCGTTGTTTAAGGAAGCAAGATAAGGAAAGATGTATGCAAACGTCTAGCTGTCATTCCTCAAATAGCACTGAATTTTTTCATGTGCATGGTCCTCATGACCTCAGAGTTTTTTCACTTTGTTCAGAAATAAAAGATCTGTCCTGAAGGAAATTATCATTTGTTCATATTCAAAATTTGGCCATGTACTAATATTATGAAGCTATATCATCTTAAATTATGATATACCAGTAAAAATGTCGACAATCTTAGTATAGCACAGTTATCATGAGTTGAAGCATAGTCAAAAGCAAACGTTCTGACTTTATATAGACAATCTGTTGTAACCATATTAAATTCATCATTTAAATTATGTTTCACAGAAATATTTGCAAATATTAATTGCTTCTTATGGAATATCTAAAGTTTATAAACTCAGCTGTTTTTGATAGAAAACATCTTCAATAGCTTTAGTTCAGAAAATCTGCTACTAGGCCTTATTGTTTTCATTTGCATTGAATGGATAAATGCAGAAAGCCAAATAGATCTGTTTAACACAAGAAATTAATCTGGAGTAGCAAATTCACATCAATGGCAGAACTTGGCCCAAGAAGCAGCTTTTATTAAACAGCCACTGCACGATTTCTAAGATAATTCTAAAAAACAGTGTTGATTCTGAAAATGCTGAAGGGAGCCCAAAAGTGATGCCGGTGACTTCTACTTCTAAGCAAGACACACGTTGATCTGATGGGAGAGCTCAATGGGAAGGAGAGAGAAGAGAAGCAAGAAAGGCATGAAAAGGTGCTAAAATGACATGTGGTGGTGAATTAGACTAGGATGGGCTGGAACACTTGCTGCTGTCAGCTCTCTGTCCTAACCCACTCCTAGAGGTTCAAGCTACCCTTGAACCAAGGATAAAAGGGATGCATGCGCACCCTGAAACATGTCTGTTTACATTCCGTAGGGCTAATGTTTATCATCTCCAATTTAAGTTTAGATTAATATTTTGGTGTGTAAACGAAGCAGATCAGGAGAAGACACACCTCCCATTCATCCATCCCTGCTGCACAAGTATTAGCCACCAGCAAGGAAAGAGAGCAGGCAGCTGGGGATATTTATTTTAAATTACTCCAGTGCCAAATATGAGCCATACAAATATTGAGGTGGACATCCAAACACACAGTATTACAAGAGTAAAGGCAGTCTGAAATAGGTTGTGTCACAGACAGAAGAGCACGCCTGCAGAGTGAAAGCAGACATCCACCTATGCGTGTACCAGTGATGCCATTCATGGCCAACTCACTAGAGGGCTTGGATTCATACCAGCTTATGAGTGTGGGGTGTAGAGGTGAGCCACATATCTAACTGTGCCTGTAAGCATTTTTAGGTGGATAGCAGTCATCTTTGGTCAAAACTTTTTTTGTATTGCATAGGTGCAAGGACGATCTCTATTAGTGAGGGCTTTATGCTAATAACCTGAAATCAGAATAAAAGTAAAGTTTTTGCACCCTCTCATTAACGGATGCCTCTAATGCACGTTCCCCCAGGCCCCTGGGGTGTGATAGGCAGGTAGGCACTGCCTATATGACTGGGTGCAGGCAAGTGTGTGTTTGCTTTGAGCTGGCTAAACCCTTATCTATCCTTGCTGCCATGTTGCAGCTTCTCTTCAAGCTACTGCTGTCCCAAATATCAGTGAACAAAAACAAGGCATCGCTAGCCTTTCTGAGGGGAGATGAAGGGGTAACTCACAGTTTCTCTCTTTCTTTCTCCTTCTCTCTCTCCCTTCCTCCCCAACTTTTTTTAATATATATTACCAAGTTTAACACGCAAACATTCCTGGAATAAGTGTCTGATTTCAGATAGTTTCCTCAGTCTCCTCATTCTCCTCATATTTCAGATCATATTATGTGAACCTGGAAAAGGCTTCTCCTTTTCCAAAAGTCAGCCCTACCCATGGGCAAAGTCTCCATTGACGACCCACTTCAGTTGCTATGTACTCACAGTTCACAGTGACCCGGACTTGCTTGACATCTGCTGAAGCAACCTCGTTGGCAGCTTTGCATTCGTACTTGCCCGACTGCTCTCGTGTGATTCCTAGGATCTCCAGGTACTCTTCCTCACCTTCAAATTCTCTGCCTGATATGACCAAAAAATACAGATAGTGGTTTGGTTAGGCACATAGATTTAGGGAGTCTTCTGTTTAATTGCTATAGAGGAACAACCACAACAGGAAGTTCTGCAACTAAACAACAGCTATTTGGAGAGCTATTTTGAAGTTACTTCAGTAGCCATATCAGCAAGATACTTGCATTTTATTTAATTAAGGAAAACTCAGGATCTGAGAATCTGAAATCCATTATGCATAAAAGTGGTAGAAAAGCATGTTATCCCACAGACTGTCCAGACCAGAGATAGAGAAGCAAAATCTCCACCACATGAGGCCAGAGTGACTTCACTGGTGTGATGCCTGAGTACCAAGAGGGGTTAGTTGGGCTCTGGCTGACGGGCTGGTTCAGGAGTAGCTGGCAGACATAGTGGTATATTCTGACAGTAACCTTTTGGCCACGTAAAACTATGAACAATTTATTTCTGCCTCTCAGAGCAACAACCACCCTGAAGTACCATCGATCAGAACAAGCTGCAGTTAAACACAGCCAAACTGAGAGAAACAAAGTGTAATTTGATCCACAGAGACCAATAATCATTACAAACGCCTGATCTACTGTACATACAAAATGACACATTTAAACTGCACTGCTTCTCTAACACAGTTTTGAAAGCAGTGACTTGAGCATCTGGGTTACAGCCAGGGGCAGGAGTCAGGGGAGGTTTGCGGCTTTGGTTTTAACTCACTGTATGACCTTAGGTGAGTCCCTCCATTGCTCTCCCTCTGTAAATTGTGGCTAATAACCCTGCTCCCCCATCACCTGCTGGTCAGAAAAGGGCAGGGAGGCTAATGTATGCAAAACACATTAGAATCCTTGGACAAAAGGTGCAGGGGAAGCATAAAATATTAGGATTAGTGTATCCACACTATTCCTTCAGAAACCAGACTGTAGCTTTTCCTGGGAAGACTATATGAACTATGTTAGAAGCACTGTGATGGGAGATTCTTCCCTCCCCTGAGAGGACTGCAAGCATTGCTTGGCAGGATGCAAATCACAAGTCCCAGATGCATGCCTCTGCATTTATAGAGAATGTGTCCCCCAACCCTTAAAGGATAAGGACTAAGTTTTCAAAAAAAGCTCAGCACCCATGGCGTCTCATTCGGGCTCCTAAGAGCACAGCACAGTCAGGTTTTCCAAGGAAACTCTCTGGCCAAAAGATATTTTCTGCTCAATGGGTGCTGATCACTTCTGAAATTCTGGCCGTTTCACATAAGTGCTTAAGATGTTTGCTGGAGTTCAGATAGTGTCTGTGAGGACTGGGCTGTTGTCCTTGGCTCTGAGGACCTGGGTAAAAGTAGTGGCTAAGCCCCACGCCAAAGCTGAAGTTCCCGTAGTACTACCTGAAATGGCAGCATTATTCCACAACATAGGCACAGGTTTGCTGTAGTATAATAGCCAGGTCAGGCTGGCCGCACACACTGGGAATGCTAGCTGTATGCATTTGCCTTCAGCATCAGAGATAGGGATTTCAAGAACTTTGAAATCTGCTGACAACTCTGTCCCTTACACAGTCATTTTTGCCTTTTTTTTCCTTCAGGCAATTTTCAGAACCATCCTTGGGGAAAACCATCCCCAGACATTGAGATCTGGCATGAAAACAGCAGCGTATCTATTATCATGCAAAACCTTCCCCTTTTTTCAGCAGGGCAAACCAGTAATTCCTTTTCCAACTTCTACCAGATGTTTAGGTGAGTCGAAATCTCATTGCTACGTCTAAAATTTACAACCGCTTTGATGCAGGTTTTCATATCCCCTAACAGTCTGGCGAAGGGCCTTGCTGCGCGGCAGCAGTGTTTTTTATGAGGTAGGAAGGCAAAGCTGCCTCTTGCTGCACACCCAAAGCTCCTGGGACACTGCTTGCAACGTTTGGCTGTGTTGTGGGGCGGAGGCTATGGGGAACATGGGGAGAATCTGTGGAGAAAGAGGTAGGGTTGGATTTTCATGCAATAAAGTGCTCTTTATTGATGTGACTCTGCACCCATGAACAGGTTTGGGAATCTGTTCCTCTTTCACTCCGGTAGGAGCAGAGTACCAGAGCTTTACTATCCTTAGCGTTCGAACAATTTTCCTAAAGTATGACCTGAATCTTCCTTGCTGCAGTTTAAGGCCATTATTTTTGTCTTAGCCACTGTAGATATAAAGAACAAATAACTCCCTCCTTCTCTGCAATAGCCTTTTATCAACTTTAAATCAGTTGTGTTCCTCCCTCAGTTGTCATCTTTTTTTTTTTTTTTTGGATGAATAGTGCCAGGTCTTTCCATTTTTCTCTGTAGGTGAGGTTTTCTAGACCTTTGATCATTTGATCATTCTTGTTGCTTTATTTTAGACCTCTCTGACTAGTTCACATTTCTCTGGAAGTGCAACTCCCCAAATTGAACACAACATTTCAGATGAGATCTTAACATGACTGAATAGAGAGGAAAGATTGCATCACAACTTCTGCACTGCTTGGCTGCCTACACAGCCAATTCATTGTGGTTTTGCCATAGCATGGTTCATATTTGTTTGGGATATGCTTCAATCTCCAGATCTTTTTATAACATACTCTACCTGCTAACAGTGCTTTTTGAAAATCCCACCCCCAACCGGAGCCTACAACCAACAGTCCCTCTTCTTTTACAGCAGCACTCCCAGTTGTAGATCGGTCAGTTGACTGGCAAGTAGTCAGACATCAGGGAAAGGCTTATAAAGGAAAGGTTAGAACATAATTTGCCTGTGCTTTGCAAATCACTTGCTCTGCCATTCTGCCTTGTTTATACACAGGGTTCATTCCAAGTGGGACTTGCTTCTCCTGCAATTTGCCCTTGTCACAAGTCTGTCACTGTAATGAAAAGAGGGTTGAGGGTGACTTACCAGCTCTAATGGAGTGACACCCTCATTAAGGGTGCTGTTAAGTCTGTCTGTCACAGAACCGTATCAATGGGACTCCAGAAAGTATCCTAAAAGGGTGTATACTTTCCTAAGGGAAGATATTTTTCAGCTCCTCCCCTACACACGTCCATGCACTTAAGGTCTAAACTGTGTACCACAGCCAGCAGAGGGGCTTTGAGCAGCTACATATAACCCTTGCCAACAGAAAGCAGATGATGAGCTGTTGGCTTGCCCAGTGGAGCTCTCTGGGGATGGGTGAAAGGGACGACTTTTGTTGCAAAGGGCATATCAAAGATATCAACAGGCCTGTTCAGCCCCTCATTCTCCCCTGCCCCAGGACACACTCTTCAGGAACAGTTTCTGTGACAGTCTCTTGCTAAAATAGCGGCAGCACTGTTCTTGTCCCTGTACCAGTGATCTGCATTTCAACTCCGAGCAGCAGTGTTTTGCTCTGTAAACTCAGTTACTCTCATTTGCACGTCACACCCTTTTGCTTGCAACCCTGTCCGCTATAAAAGTACATTAACCATTTCTAAAAAAATAGAGCATTACAATAAAATTGAGGTGTCATAGTACAGATCAGAGAGAGAAGAGACGTACCATGGTGTGTTAGAAAAATGCCAGGCTGTGATATCTTGCACAGAGCTGTAGAGATGTTTTCACTAATTCACCTTGGCAGCCAGATTAGGTGAGTCATATTAACTCTAACCTCTAAGGCAAAGGGGGGCGGGGGGAAAGGAGAAACAGGTCTTTCTACACAGAGCAAATCTACAAATGTTTCCACTCAGCAGGCAGCTTTGGCAGGAGGCTGATGGTTGTCACTACACAGTTTATCAAAGTGGGAGGGGAGAAGGTTTGGATGATGCTCTTTGGTAGAGATAACAATGAACATGTTCGATTAGGTGAGGGGAAGGAATGCCAACTACGGGCAAGCAACCTACTCCATTCCCACTAACAGAAGACAGTTGCCTTGAGCATGTTATCCAGGGACAAAATCCCGACCCTACTGCCAAACCTTCCTCACTGATGAGGACTGTCCCCCAGATGTGTTCTTCTATCTGGTTGGTTATGATGTGTCCCAGTGAGGGGGCCCTCCACGGTTTCCCTCAGGTAGATGACTCTCCATGCAGGCACAGCTCTCTCTTCTTCCCAAAGCATCCCTGCCATGACTCTAGGTAACCTTCCTTCCTGTGAGGTTTTTGCCTTTCACGTACTCATAGGTAGCTTGGTTTGTTACTGCAGCCCTGCTAAACACCATCTCACCAAGCTGCAGCTCCTTGACTCTGTCCCAGTAAATCACGCACAGAAGCTTTCTGTTCTGGAGGCTGGAGATCGAGTACGAGCCTAGGAGGCTTGACATTCAGACTAGCAGGGAACGACCCCGAGTGGAGCGTGCCAGAAGCTGGCCACTGCTCTGACCTGGCAGAAGCCTTTCGGCACAGGGATCTGTGGCAGACAGCTCGGATGTATGCAAGAGGAAGCTTTGAAGGTCCATTTGCCGCAGTCACGTTTGCTATCCGCTAGCTTTTTAATTGGACGTACTGACGTAATAGTGAACCCGAAGAGCCAATCTGCTCTGTAACGCTGACCTGCTGGCAAGAAGCCCCCTTCAAACTCAGTCCACGCACAGATATGCCTCATCTCCTTCTGCCTCCGGAACAGACATACCCTTGTACGACCCCATGTAGCCTCACTCCCACCCTGCCTCTCATCCCCCATTGATATGCACACCTGCTTATGCCCACGTAGACGCTCTCCAAGCTTGTTGTACGTGCAGAAATACAGACTTAACACCTTCTCCATGTGTTTATAGGCCTTTGCCGCCTCTTCCCAAAATGCAGCATAGCCCCTTGCACTGCCACACACCGTCACTCTCTTCACAAAGGCTAAATTCTTCCTTTCGCGCAACAAAGCACACCCAAACAAAACCACGCTTGTAGCGAGTGCAGACAGCTTGTTCAGCCAGCCGAGGGGGCAGCAATACGCTCAACCATGTACTCTAACAGATAGGTCTTTCTCTTTATGGCCTAGTTCCTCAAATTTCCAAAGGGGAAGCTGGTCCGCAGAGAAGGCAGCCATATTATGCTGTGTCCTATG